AATAATAATGCAATATAGTAAAATTGTACTTGTGTTTTAGATGTATGTTCCAGGTTTAGTTAAACAACCAGGTATAGATCGAATGTCAGCACTTAGTCGTGATGAGCAGAAGGATTGCCTAAGACTTTACCAGAAGTTTTATGGTAGACCAGTAACTGACCTTACACCATGTGAGAAGGCAGAATATCAACTGTTTCAGGTATTTATGCCTAATTCAGCTCTAGTTTATCTAGCCCTACCATCTCTTTGAGCAGTGTGTAATGTGTGTTCATCTCCTCCGCTAGTCATTGTTGAGAAGAGTACAAGCAGAACAAAAGGAATTCTTAGACCATGCCAAACAAGATTGGCTAGATTATGCGGACCGAACAAGTAAAATTAAAGGAGATGCTTATAACTTTGTTCTTCAGCATTGGACAGTAAGAATCTTGAAAATACATTAAAAACATTGCTATGTTGATTAACTCTAACTCTTAAATAACTCATTCATATTGTGTCCCTTTTACAGGACAAAGTTTCTCATGCAATGGCCCAGTATCCCAAAAATTACAAGTTGCTAAGAACAGTTTCATTGCTTCGTAAAAGCAATACAGTTGTTAAGATGCATCTCATCAAAAATATTCTGAATATTGTTAGTAAATTTATTTTTTCTACATTAGAACTTTTGTAATTGACTGATTACCTGAAAATTGTATTCTTTCTTATAGGGTAAAGTTCCAATTTCAAAATTACCACAGTTTGATGCACCATTTAGAATAGCTACCTCTCTTATAAGACTGCGAACATGGCGATACCTTAATATTCCCCCTGGACAACTGAGTGGGACTTTGCATAAAGTACCAGGTATGAGTCTAATTCTCCTGTCTCTCACTAGTTAAATATTTGGCATAATTTTTCCTTTTAGTCAGCAGGGATCCCAATGCTGAACGTCTGGCAAGACTTCATGGTGCTGATGTTGTTATGTCAACTAGTGCCTTTAAATGTCTATTGGACAATTATGATGAAAATAAGCATCCACATCACAGTGGAGTTGGCAAGTCATGGATTATCCCAGTTATTGTTAAAGAACATCGTTCATTCTGTTCGTATACACATTTTCTAACATCATTAGTAAACATTTCTTTTTGGCAGATTTTGTTATATCAGCTGTATTTATGTTTCCTTTCAGGTGATGGGAAACCTATTTCAAAGACAATAGTATTTTTAGATAAAGCTTTGCCTCTCTCAAGAATGACAAAATTTGACAAAGTGTGCACTTACCAAAAACATGGTTTGCTTGCTGCACTTGTCCACCGTCATAACGAAGGGGGTATTGAGTAAGTGCTTTCTTAATTAAACTGAGCATTACTTGCATTAAATTTCTTATTTTCATATGTTCTTATAACCTATCTTTATTTCCCTTAGATTTGATATCAAAGGTGATGACATTATGATAAGGAAACCTTCGGTAGATGATGTGATCCCTCCCAAAAATTTTACTCAAGTAAGAAATGATAAGCCAGCACCACCAGATTCAAAACAGAATGATAACCAATCTTCAATGTCTGCCCCTTCAAAATCAAATGAAAACCTGGTTTCATCAGAAATTTGCACAAAAAATGTAGATTTACAGGTTTCTGATAGAAAATCTTTGGAGGAGAAGGGGAGCGATGGCAATGACAATGATGAAGATGATGATGATAGTTCAGATGAGTTTGGTCTCACTATTGCATTGTCAGATGAAGAAACCAATACTAAGAAAACTTCTATCACCTGTCCAAAAGAAAACCCTAGTTCTTCCCAAATTCAAGCAGTTAAAGAATCTGAAAATCACACTCCAAGTAAGTCTGAAAATGATCCAACAATCAACTCTAGAATTAAAGGACTAGGTGAGTCTGAAAATCAATCAGTAAATGAATTTGAACAACAAGAAGTGAATGAGCCTGAGAATCAAACAGTAAATGACTCTGGAAAACCAGAAGTGAATGAGTCTAAAAATCAAGCGATAAAAGACTCTGGAAATCAAGAAGCGAATTTGTCTGAAAATCAAGCAGTAAATCTGTCAGACACTGAATCAAGGGTCCAGATTGCGTGCAATGACTCTCAAGTTGTAGAAGGATCAGTAGAAAATACTCTGAAGCCTTTAGAATCAGAATCAACCGTCCAATCCAATGGGAAAAATGATTTGTCTAATAGATGGGAAAAAACTCCTGCTCCCCCTTTAGTCAAAACCGTGAATGGTAATGCACTACCCCCAAATACCACTAATGTTATGTATAATTTGTGGTCTCTTCAAGATGAGAAAAATAAAGCAAATCCATTAGAAGAAAATAGTGCTAAAAACATCAATTTACTTATCAGAAGTCGCATTGATGGATGTGAGGTAAAAATAAAAACAAAACTAACTAAAAAAACACTGTACTTAAGGCATTATATTACTTGAAATTTAAATATTCACCCATTACTTTCCAGAGCCTTGGATCTGGTGCTTATGAACCTCTTACCTTCGCTGTGAAACCTGAATACCAACTAGAATATGGGGCTGGAGTTGTTGCCTTAAGTGATTTAACTAGGCAGTGGGCAAAGCTGTTGATTCAACCTAATACTTCTCTTGCTAGAGGTATTTCAAGGTATCATTTTAGATTTTCTCTGTTTTTTTCTCTTAAGTTACTACAATACGTTTTTATGCTTTACAGTCCGGGTTAATGTGACAACATCAGAAATGGTTAAAGTTGAAAAATGTTCTAAAGAGGAAGTAGCAGCAGATGCAAAACTTCTGTATAATGAAGATCTAAGTCATACTTTGATGACCCTAAATGGAGTTCTGTTGGATTTAATGTCTCTTTCAAGTGGAGAGTACCTTCTGTCTCACACTCCAGACATGGGACTCAATGCAAAGCTTTTCAAGACAACCATAGGGTAAGAATATGTTCTCCTTCCCAGAGACGCTGCATTGATTAACAATAATCTTTATTCATGTTTAATTTGTAGGAATGAAGCAGTAGATTGGTACTTGCCTGCTGGGTATGGTGCCCTACCAGGAGAAATAGGCTGCGATGTCCCTTGGCAGCCACTTGACTCAAGAGTTATCATGCCAAAGAATCTTCTATTCCATCAAATGCCCTGCACTTTCCAACCTTATTGGGCACCTGATATAAAGCCCAAGCAGTGTAAGTAAAGCATAGCTTTGCAAGCAACTTTTGTGAAAAATGTCAATTGTTTTTGTTATATCTAGCCGTATTTATTTATTACAGATAAGCCTAAGCCTCCCAAATTTGCAACCATCAACAATCTCAAGTCTAAGAAAAAAAAGAAAAATAAGAAGAAGGGTAAAAAAAACTAGACTCATGAAGATTTTTTCTTTCATTAAGGATTTATTGAAAACATTATTTTTCTAAATATATGTATGTACAAAAAGACAAAAAAAACATTCATCACCAAACTTCGTTAACAAAATAGTGAAACCTATCATCAGTTCAAGTGTGAAAATTTCAGTTCGCAACAGAAATCTCAAACACTCACAATTATAGATAGATGATAATGCAGCAGTATTGATGGTATATTGGCACACAGAGGACGTTTTACCTTTAGTGTCAACAAATCATGCCAGTTGTTAATTTAAATTACTCATTACCATGATATGATGTTCATTAGTAACAAGAAATCTTTCAGTTCACTCACAAATGATGGACTGGTCAGCAAAAACCTGTTTTTATCTAACAATCAAAATTTGCTGTAATAAACATTCATTTTACCATTTCTTAATTTTACACTGTCCCCTAGAAAAATTTTGTTCTACAAACAAAGCGAACAAACCTACCCAACAGGAAATTCAGTTACACTGATAAGCTATTCCAATCATGATTCCTTTGACATATTTTTAGGAGACACTTTGAAATAGAATAGGAAACCAATTACCTACATACGTCAATACATGCCACCAACCAGAAAATACAAGTAGAATTGTTTTTGAAAAGAACAACTAATAATTTCTATACCTTAACTTAATCGCAGACATTAAGATTAAAACAGTAAACTTGTGATTGACTACATTTTTAGATGACAACCTTCTATTTTACGTGTTGAATGATAATCACAGTCATCATATTTTGTTAAAAGGAAACAGATTGGTACAAATGAATCTACAGGCAATGTACACTTTTAAAGAGGGATTCAAAACACATTCGAGGACAGTTAGCAAAAGGACAAAGCAAAGTGCAAAAAAACTCTAAAAATTCTCCAGTTTTACTGGTGTTGAGCCTTTAGGACCACACAAAATTCCCTTTGCAAACTGCAAATTAATAAAACAGAAAATTTGCAATTAGCTGTGTATGAGATTTTATCACAGACAAACAGAAGTAATTCACATACGTAATTGTGACTTACAAATCAAGTATCTCATGACTCCTCATAAAGGCATAAAAAGGAATCCAGAAACACTTTTAAATCTCTGGTTACTGGCTCAGTCACTTGCAAAACTTTCTTAAAGTTCAATTATTTTCTTTAACCAAAGTGCATTTTTAAGAGCATGCATCTAGTACCTTGGTAGTCGCAACACCACCAGCTTCAACATTACATGGTGTAATGAATTTTGCAGTGTTTTGAACATAAATCATAAAAGGCAGTAAAAATGAATATTGGGTGGGATTAAAAGGTGGTTCAATTTTCCTATGAAGAACCAAGAGTGAGAACTGCTTTCCGCTTGTTCAAAATAGTTCTAAACTCTACGACTATAATTTATCATCTGGCATGTCCAGGAACTGAGCGCTGACATCCCTTGAGCTGTCTCCTTTTTTGTTATACACAAATTTGTAGTAACTTCCATCAGCACAAACAACTGAAAATAAGAACCATAGTTATAATGAGAACAACTGAGTGGAAGAAACAGGTTCACAACACCAACAAAAATATTCAGTTATGATGGTTTTCCATGTTCCTGGCATAGTATCATTCTCCAGCTTACCAATTATTGAATTGTTGTCAGCTCCAAATGCACACATACACCGACAGTTTCCTGGTACTTGAAACTTGCAAAAACTCCAGCTAGAGCTAAAATATTTTGGCAAGAATGATGCGCTTGCCAAGCTAAGGGAAAGAAAATTATTATGATTTTTTTTAGAAAGGGAGAGCATTCCTGCTTTCTAGTGACATTAATGAGCTTAAATTTTTACCTGGACTGTCTATTAAGCTTAGGATCTTCAACTGAAAATATGTGAATTGTGCCATGGTCACTAGATACACATAAGCAAGTTGAGTCATGGTTGAAGTTGATACTAGCAGAGAATGAATGATTGATAGATAAAAAAATAAAATGAGTACAGGATACATAGAGACATAGGATCCACATATGGCAGAAAATAATACCAGTAAATATTTGCTGCATTAGCTCCTCTTCTCAGTTCATTTATTATTTGTCCACTGGCAGTATCAAAAACTCGAATGAGAGTTCCCTAGATAATGTAATGAGAGAAAGAGAAGAAAATTAAATTTGCCGGTACAAAAGAGGTAGGCTTTAAAGCAAGGAGTAAAAGAGAAAAGGTAAGAAGAAAGGCACTATAGATTGCAAGGCACTGCAAACCTTTTCTGATGCTGTAGCCAATCGAGTACCCTGTAAATTCAAAGCTATACAACTCAGGGGCGCTTCATGAGCAGCAATGTCCAAAGGGGGGCGTTCTGTGTCTGCCAAGTCCACAACCTGAACATGTCCAGATTTTCGCCCAGGAAAAGCTAATAAAGAATTATTGCTATTGGGGCATAAAACACAGAGGCCTGTAAAATAATACAAATTAATTCAGGTTCAATGTTAATTCACTATGTTTAATTCACGCAATGTAATTTAAAAATCACCTTTAGGATTTGGATTTGTTTCAAACACATGCAGTTGTTGTGGGTTTTGAGTAAATGTGTAGACTTTGATGACACCTTCGAGAACTACAACAATGCGATCCCTTCTAAGGCGAACACCCCGGACAGGAGCATTGAACTCAAGAGCGATCACAGGCTGTTTCTTAAGATCATCCCATACCATAACTAAAATGGAAAATATTTATAAAAAATTAATGTCTCAAAAAATAAAAATAAAGCTCTCCAAAAAGTGAAAATTAGATGAAAATTAGTACCTTTATTGGGAGGATATTTAGGATGAGTTCCGCCACCAACAAGAGCTAAGTAGTTACACCGAAAGAGCATTTCAACGTAGTTGAGACCCCCATCAGTAAAGTCTTCCCTTTCTTTCTCTTTCAAAGGATCACAGTTGTAAACTCTAAAACCATTCTCCATTCCACACGCAAAGCATCCTAAAACAAAAGATTCATGATTGAGGTGGAACGTAATTAGTCAATAATTCAACTTAGTAATAATCAACAGCGGTTGTAAACGTGCGAGGCAAAAAGTCGATTTTTTTAGCGAGTAAATAAATAAACCAATCAATGCACAAGTGATAAATGACTGGTGTTTTGGGGCAGTAAACAATAGTTAACCTGCCAAGAGACAAGGTGACAGCCACTCAGCTGCGGAGTAATAAGAGTTAAGACGAGACGAAAAATAACACAAGCAGGGTGGTAATTATTGTGAAAGTTTAAAATTTCAGTTGGAAAATAATTTGATCCATGATCCTGCCAACTAACGAAGAAAGCGTAAACAAGTGGAATGAATGCGCAGCTAAATCCACAATCACCTTGGTCCTGGTTGAAACCGGCGAACAAAAGTCCATTCCCGTAGGGGTTTGAAGGCCCCAAATTCATTGTAAAAGTCAAGTTGCTCAGCTGAAGTATGAATACAGTACAAATGGCATTCAAATGGTTAAAGACGTCGTTTAAAGAGCTTGCTTGTTTTCGACGAGGAAAACATTGACACTTGGCTCAGACATGTTGTTTTCTTCTTCTTTTTTTCTGCAAACCACTTGCCGCCATATTGCTTCGGCCAGGGTTTGAGGCGGGGAATGCAAACAACGGCGCAGACGCTTCAAAAGCTCAAATAAGGCTCGTGTTTCCAGTCAAATAAGAATGAGTCAAGACATAGTCAAGAAACCTTTAACACACCCCCTACCAGGCTGCGGGGGGAGAAGGGAAAGGGAAAACATGGGCAGACAATGACCGATGCAGATGTGCAAGATTTGCAGTTTCAGCAGTAAAATTATGTAGATTCCTTCCCACACGGCACATTTATGCAATGGCAAAGACGAACACAACACTCCCCGTGGTGGCACACATCTAGGCGTGTCGCGGTGACTGACGGCGCCCACGGTGCTGTGGAACCACTCAGCTCTGTGCTCGGAAGCTGCAGAGGCGTGAGCTCCGTTGCCTCTCTACAGCTTATGCATGCAGCTGTTGGCAGCGTGCCGAGAGCCGCGAGGTACGCACAAAGAGACACAATGTGTGGCAAGAGATGCCGTGTACAGCAGGCGCGAATCCAGTCACCACTGGGCTTTCTGCCTATTTTCAGGCTGCATTCTGAGAACGAATTGTTGCCTACCCATCAGGCGGTCGGTTAAGGACCCCTTATCCCGCTGCTGATACGCCATACAAAGACGTGAGCGCGCGGAGCAGACAAGGGGAATGACCTAAATTATTGAGATAATTTAATTTGGCCCTCTCGTGTCTCTTGACCGCTATAGGCTATCGACGCATTTTGACATCTTGTGCTCCACCAATGTTATATCAAGTTAAGCCAAGCCGAACGCGCAAGCCCAAGCCCAAGCCGAAACTCAAGCCCGATGCGACGAATTTTTCGGATTAAAGTTATGTTTTTAGTGTTTTCAGAGTTCATTTTTACGCGCATTGCCGCAGCCAGTGTGTATTTAAGTGCATTTGTGCTACTGGGGCAAGAATTCTGTGTTACTGGCATTACTTTAATCCGAAAAATTCGTCGATTCGGGCTTGAGTTTCGGCTTGGGCTTGGGCTTGCGCGTTCGGCTTGGCTTAACTTGATATAGCACAATCTCTCCCCCATCCCCCTCTTCTTTAGGTAAATCACAACATTAGTCAGCACGGGCAAACCAAAATATGACTTCGGGCTGGAACGCTAAGCCCCCGCACCAGTGGCGCAAGCGTCGACTCTTGCCCCGGCAGTACACCGGGCCGTGGGCGACCCGACGTCGGAGTGCTGCGCGCCGGAGGACCGGCCCCAAACGACGAAAGGGCGTAAGGTAAAGTACCCCCCCACCCCCACCCCCGCCATACAGTGAACGTTCTCCCCGGGGCAACACCACCCTGGGAACGTCGGGCACCCAACGACCACACGGAGCATAACGACGTTCGCCTGCCCGCGCCACGCCGGTGGTGGACGCCTGGACGCCCACAGGGCTGGCCGCCGGCTCCACGCGGCTGCTGGGCGGGTTGGCCTAGCCAGCGCGTCGCAGGCGCTAGCTGAGCCCGCGGAGCCTTACCAACATGGCTCGCACATGTGGAGGCAAAAGCTAAACCGCGCCCACCACCCAATCGTTGCCTCGGGGAGCGTCACGTCAACACCCCTCTGAAGTACTGAAGTACCCTAGAGTACTAAGTGCAAGGTGTCCGACACACGACCGGCACTCTTTGAACGGCCCCGTCGGCCCGGCAGGCTGAGTCGGTTCGGCAGCGTGAGCCCGTTCCTCAACTTCGTGCGCGCGCTGAGGGCGCGGACGGCGGGCCTAAAGGCGGGCAGCCTGGCGCAGGCCAAGGTGCGCGCCGCCGGCCTCTGGGCGCTCATGGGGGAGGAGGAGCGGCGGCCCTACGAGGACCAGGCGGAGCGCGCGCGCAACGACCGGGACGAGCAGCGGGAGCGGCTGGAGAACAGGGGGAAGGGCGGCGGCAGGACCAAGAGCGCCTCGAGCCGCGGGGGCCGCAGACCCAGGGGCGGGCGGGGGCGGCGGGCCCCGAGGGTAGGCCGCGCACCCTGGGCACCCTAGGGGCGGCCGACAGCCGGACAGCCGACACGACACCCCCCTCCGCCCCCTCCACGAGGTCGTGCCGCCGACAACAAAGCCACCCCCGCCGGCCGCTGGTCGCCGTGGATCCGCCCAGCTCAACACTCCACGCACAGCGGCCAGGTCCGGCGGGTCGCGCGCGGCTGGTCCTTCCCTCTGTCCCGGCCCCGGTCCGGACTCTCGCCCAGCCGACCCCTCCTCTCGATATCCGGCGGACCTGAAGGGCGACATGGTGCGTCGCAAGGCCTCCAAATCGCGGAGCCGGTCCGGGGCCAAGCGGGGAGGTGGCGTGAAGAAGAGGTGAGTGAGGAAGCAGCACCCCCCCCCCCTTTTCCCCCTTTTCTCCTCTATAGCTCTTTTCTTCCTGCAATCTGCCTGCGCCTGATATGAGCTCACAATCAATCTGGGGTTCTCCGCGCGTCACGCAGGGGCGGCAAAGCAGGGGCTTTCCTCAACTTCGTGCGTTCCATGCGCGACCTGTTCCCCAACCACACCCCCACGCGGCTCAAGAAGGACTCGCAGGCGCTCTGGCGGGAGATGAACTCCGAGGACAAGGGCATGTACTCATCGCAGCAGATGTGCGGGTGTGTATACTTTACAGGATTAAATGGCCGTGTTTGTCAAAAAATATCAGCCAGACAAATCCTCTCTGTTGATTGTCGTGCAGGCCTGGTCGGATGGGTCGTAGCCGCAGCCGGAGCCGCAGTCGCAGCCGTCGAAGCCGCAGCCGAAGCCGAAGCCGCAGCCGACGCAGTCGAAGGCGACGACCTGGCCGTTAACTGAAGTCAGCTGCCCCCCCCCCCCCTAAGAAAACTGGTCAAAATCTAAAGTTTGAAGTCAAGTCATCGACGTCGGCGGTTTTTGCTCCTATATATTAGAGTTCTCCTGGAGGAGGAAAGCGAATTTAAAAATTGATAAGTTGCGTTATTTTCAAGAATATTTTCAACAATTTTCAAGCCACCTAAGTAAATGTTACTTGGATACTAATAAAGTCTAGTAATCCAAACCGACTACGTAGATAATTACCCCTACACCCTACAAACATTTTGACAACAACAGTAGGAAACACCCCCGAAACACCAATCCAATATCGCGATTGTTTTCAAAGTTGCAATCGGTTTGGCGCCTCACCGTCGCCGACTAGATTTCTCATCTTATATCGGGCGGACAGGCGGGCAGTCTGCTGCTGCTTCTGCTTCCTGAGCGGTGTTGAGAAGTGGCTAGTGTGATTTTCGGTTATTCTAGAGATGGTTTGGGCGTTTTCCTTGCAAATAACATTTGTGGTTTTGATTCAAGCGTTGAAAAACTCAACCTGCCAATAATTCACTTCCAAATGTAAGTAAAATTATATCTTGCTATCAACATAATGAGTATGTCAGAACTCAACTTACCAAATTTAACCTCTGGAGAGATCCGTTTATTTTGATCCATCAAAAATTGGAATCCAACGTAGAGAAGCTAAATGACAGTTCCATTATGTTTTCTATTTGGTTTAAAAAAATATTTCCAACTGCCATTTGATCATCTCTCTTGCTTGTTTGCAGATACTCGTCACATCAAATAATGCTAAGAGCCATATTTTATAATGGGCAACACATCCGCCAAGTATTATCTGCAAGAGACTTGATGATCTCCAAAAGATTGCTTCATCTATCATCATGTTGTATGAACAAAACAACTTTAGAGGTTGTAAGGGAGAAAGTCCGAACAGTGGCACCTGAATCCCGCAAACCCAAAGTTAAAATGCCACCTTATGTTAAAAATCTATTTAAGGGGAAAATTGACCCACACATTTTTGGATATGGAGAGCTTGACCAGGGGGCCTTGGATGTTGTACAAGAAATGAGTCAAGAGCTTGAAAAGTTCATGAATGCACAAAAATTTATATTATTTGATCAAAACCAGCCCCAAATCACATCTGAAGTAATTTCCAAACTTAAAGAGACTGGTATATTCAAAGTCAATATACCCAAAGAATATGGCGGTTTGGAATTATCTTGCACTGAAATATTATTTTTATGTGAAGTTCTTTCAAGAGATCCCTCTCTATTTCAAACTTTGAATGTTCACATTCATTATATCTCTAGCTTGTTAACAAATTTTGCCAGCAGTGAACAAAAAGCAAAATACCTCCCATCTGTGGCTTCGGGAGATCTTCAGATAGGTTTTGCTTTGTGGGAAGAAAATGCAGGTGTTGATGTTTCCTGTCTTGATTGTTCTGCTGATTTCCTTGGTGATCAGTATGTATTGAATGGGTCTAAACGATGGGTTTGTAATGGAGGTATTGCCGATAAATTTATTGTCTTTGCAAGTGAAGTCAAAGGCCCCTCTAAAGGAAGTGCTGATACTATTACCTGTTTTTTGGTTGATAAGCATGCAGATGGAATTACAGCCAAAAAAATGGACACTCTAGGAATGAATGAGTACAATGCATGGGAAATTTCATTTGAAAATACTACTGTACCCAAAGAAAATGTGATTGGTGACGCAGGACATGGAATTAATATGATACGATCACTACTACATGGTAAATTTACTTTGGCTGGGGCCCATGTGGGTCTACTAAGAGATCTTTTAAACAAAACGGTACATCATGCCATTAATCGTACCTCTTTCGGGAAACCTCTGATTAAGAATGATATTGTCAAACAACATCTTGCTGAAGCAGCTACCCGTCTTTATGCATTGGAAAGTGTTACTTATATGACAGCAGACTTGTATGATAATATTGAAGATCCTGACATTGAAGTGGAAACAGCCATAGTCAAGCTATACAGTGCTGAAACTGTTCCTTTTATAGTTAAGAAATGCCTTACCATTTTGGGATCAGATTCATATATCAAAGACAAACCATATGAAAAAATTCTGCGTGATACTTTGTTTCATCCTCTTGTTGAAAACTCTGTGGACACTTTGAGGATGACTATAGCCATGCTTTGCTTACAGCATGCTGGTAATTTTATGCAAGAGTCTGTTTATCAGAAAAGAAATCCGCTCTTTTATCCTGCAAAAGCCATAAAGGATTATTTTACAATGGTGCCCGAAGAGGAAGGTTTCACTGACATTGTATATGAACATGTCCATCCCTCTCTAGAAAATGGTGCTAAGGACCTAGAGAGAGCTATTTTGAAGTGCCGTAGGGTCACAGAGGTGGCTTTCGCTCGGTGGGGCAAACAAATTGAAGAAAAGCAGATGAATCTTGCAAGATTAGCCGACCTTGCTGTTGATATGTACATAACAACAGCAGCCCTTTCCAGGAGTTCTCGTGCACTCTCAATAGGTACCAGATTTAGTGATGTTGATGGTAGCATTTCAAGTACTCTCGTATGGGATACTTACAAGAGAATGTGTCAAACTTTACAAGAAATAGAGGAGAGTCCATATGGTAATAATGATGCTAATTACTGGGTTATTGCTGACACAGTACTTCATGAACGCAAGTACTACTCTGAACATCCATTGGCAAGAACTTATTGAATGATATACAGAAATTATTACTAAATGTTGTCATCTCCTGTCAAACTTTCTCCTTTGTATTAAAATTGCCCCAAAGTAATAATAAATACTGTCATAGTTTTGTAATTGATGTGTCTAATATGTATACCATTACACCAAATACATTGATTGCAGAAAGCACCACAATTTATTAATATTTGGATAAATCATTTTAGAACTAATATTTCCCTTTATAGATGGGCATTGAATACATAATGCGGTTAAAATTTTATACAGCTGTATATTCTATAATTAATTACATTTCATTTTCTAAACATCATTTTCAAAATCCTTGGGGTTCTTCCTGGAAAGACGCTCGTTTTCTGCATTAGCCCAGTCATAGACGAGGTAGCCAGCAATGAAAGCTGAAATACCAGAAAAGAAAATTAAACAAAGTATGGCAACAAATCAAAAACAAAATGAAATGCTCAAAAAGCGTACGTGGTGCAACTCTGAAGAATTGGCCTCGAATTCGCCTAATAGTATTTGGTACACCATGGCTGATAAAACCAGCGAAAGGCTTCAGCTCATATGGAGACAACCGGAAAGTTGCAATGTTCCGGAATTTGGCCAGCTCCCCCCATTTCGCGGCATTCTGAAAGTAAACATACACTTAATCAATGAAAAACCAAATGAAATTGTTCAGGTTAAGTCAATCATGTCTTGCAAATGCATCAACATTAATAAGATAGGTTATATAAATGTCATTGTTAGACATCGATATGAGGACTAACCTACTATGTATTAGAACGGGTGTCATGTCTATTAATTAAATAAAATCGAAAGCTTATTGAAAAATTACTACAATACATAGCATAGCACGAACTTAACCCAGTCAAGTTAAAAGAAGTGAAACACGAAAAATGCCTTCATATTCGTTAAGTTTAGTATAGAAATAAATTTGAAACCTAAACTTCTTCGAAGTTTCTACTAACCATAAGAGGTGAAAGCTTCATGATTGATTGCTTGAATGAAACGTTAGCCTCAACTTCTAAATTCTCGTCTGCTGCTAGAAAGCTAAAAGTGACTTGACCTTGTGATAGTGAGCAGAGAACCAAACCAGAACCGGAATCAACATCTTTCTATTTGTAAGGCGGCGAGTTCCGACACACTCCACGGAGGATAACAGGCAACGTGTGGTGTGAAAGAAAACAGCAAGGCTGTAGAAAAGAGTTGAGAAGTCTTTGTTTGTTGTTGTGTGTAAGTTTTGACATAATTTTGAACTAACAATTTGTTCTTATGCCCGTTAATCTGAATTTACCATCTTATTGATTCCGCTCGTTCTTTCATAAGTTGAAAAAATGGCTGTTCGACGAGCATCGCATTCTGGAAGCTGGTATTCTGATTCTGGTATGTCATTCTTTTTGGTGTTATTGTTTTTTTATTTTTTATTGACAGCTTTTATCATCTCATTTACTCTATTTGTTTATTTTCCCCACTTCTTCTCACACTCATCTTTTATTTCTTGCAATGAATTTATTTATCATTTTGATATACTATAGATTCAATGCTTTACAAATCAAAGATGTGCGTCATCTTCCTCACCTGACAAACATACAATGTTTCAACAGTTAGCTCTGCGGCTCTGCTTGACAGTGAACAAGTTCAATTCCTGTTTGAAAAGTTTAATTAATTACAGTTAAATAAATTAGATTTTACTCAATTACCTTTTTGCTGTTATTGTGTAACACACCCTTCCATGTTCAGGAAAAGAACTTGGACGACAGCTGGAAGGATGGTTAAGTGCAGCTGATCTATCGCATGGTCCTGCCAGGGCTATTATTGCTCCGTAAGTTTATGTTTTGTTTAGTTCTTGCTTAATTATATGCAAAGTCTGATTCAATTTGTATCTTTCACAGGCATGCAGGTTACCAGTATTGTGGAGCTTGTGAGGCTTATGCCTATCGGCAAATTAGCCCTGTTGTTGTGTAAGTGGTACAGTAGCTTCCAGTCTGAACAGTATTCTTCCATTTTCTTTTGAAACATTGTATCATTTTTTTTTTTTTTGCAGACAACGAGTTTTCATTTTGGGACCATCACATCATGTTCGACTCGCTGGTTGTGCTTTATCATCTGCAACAAAATATCGTACACCTTTGTATGACTTGAAAATAGATTCACAGAGTAAGTTGTACAATTATTTTTTATCACCATTCCCCTACTCTGTCAAACTCACCCATCCTAATCTTTTTATAATGACATCTTACAGTTTATTCTGAATTGGAGAGCACTGGCCACTTTGAGAGAATGAACATGACTGTAGATGAAGATGAGCATAGTATTGAAATGCATCTGCCTTATATTGCAAAGGTCATGGAAGAGTAAGTGTCCTTACTTTTAATTCTACTTTTTCCAAATCTATGCTTATTAATTTATCATGAAGATCATTTTTTTTTTTTTTTTTTCAGCTACAAAGATAAGTTTACTATCGTTCCTATACTGGTAGGGTCACTGTCTCCTGAGAAAGAAGCACTGTATGGCAGAATTTTGGCTAAATATCTTGCAGACCCCCAAAACCTTATTGTTGTCTCATCTGACTTTTGTCATTGGGGTCAGCGGTTCCGCTACACATTCCATGAGCGTTCTTGGGGTCAGATTTATCAGTCAATTGAAGCTCTTGACCGGAAAGTAAGGATTATTTTTGTCATATTTGTGTATTTTACAAAAGCACTCTCTTATTGATTATTTTATTTAATTTTCTGAAGGGAATGGATATAATTGAAACTCTCAATCCAAGTGCTTTTACCGAATATTTGAAGAAGTATGGCAATACAATTTGTGGGCGTCATCCAATTGGAGTTCTACTACAAGTAAGTTAGCTCACATTATTGTTAACCATATTTATATAAAACAAGTGACAACCTTTCATACCAATGTGTCTTTTCTAATTTTTTAAAACTTCAGGCTGCATCACATCTTACCAAAGAGGGTGGTTTGAATGGGCAGAAACTTTCAATGAAGTTTTTACAGTATGCTCAATCCAACCAGTGCTGCAACATGAGTGATTCTTCAGTCAGCTATGCATCAGCTGCATTGGTATTTGAGTAAATTGTTGGGAGTGAGCAGAGCAAATTGTGTGTTGGTATTATTTGTGAAAATTGGAACTAATCAAAAGAGGCTGTCTCACTGCCATCAGTTTCATTTTTCAACTTAAGCCCTGCAACAGTCAGTGGGTAGTGTTTTCATGTACTAATATTGTTAGTTTTGTAAGGAACAAAGAGTTCATATTGGCTGTGTCTAGTGACTTTTGTCCTAGCAATTTCAAAACTGCAGTGCAAATGTTATGTTGTTCATATTTTTAATATGATTTTACAACCTTGTATCTTGTAAGATTATCAAATCAGAGAGCTTACATTTTTTTTCCAAGTCTGTGCATCATACATGATGAAGTAAAGAAGACCAGCCTTAATGAGCAGTCAGTCTTCAATGCTGGCTTTGTGGTAAAGGGTCTTTTTGAGAAGTAAAGACTGTTGTTGTAGAGAAAATTCAATTGAAAATGTTATCTTTTCAACCTTCAAATTTGTTACATTTATATTTTTATTTTAATTGAGTGATAAATTTCATTTTCTGGTAACCTTAACTCAGATCTTTTTAGCCATTTACACATGATTTTCAATATTTCGGAAGTTTTACTTATATTACAACAACTGTGGTCTGTATCTCCTCTTTTTATTCCTGCTGTTCTGAGAAGCTGGAGAGATTATTCCAAAGGTGTATTCTACACATGATGTATACTACAATAACGTAGGTAAATTATTATGCTCAGCAGTTTCGCTTAATCCTAATTGGCTTTTATGAACCTGTGATTTTTATGTTACATTTTGTTTAAGACTGTTGAAAACTTACTAGCCATGCTCAGAGCCACCACAAGTTTGATCTGAACTATACTATCACACTGTGTTTTAGACATTAGGAAACTACATGCTTATTAATTTTCTTGATTCATGTAGTTCTCAAGAGAAATATTTTGCTCTGAGTTTGGTTTGTAAGTCTTGATTTTATTCATACTGTTCCCACTCTGCAAATGATTGTGATGTTCAGTGTATTTCTCAGTAAATGTATTTATATATCAATATATCTCTCTATGATTTAAGGGCCAGCCGTCCTTTGCTCATTATGTGAACTGTATTTTGTCTGTTGACAAGTTTCAATCGCATAAAACTTTTAGTGTAGCAGTTGACCTAAAACTAATATACCTAGTTTTTCTTTTGAAAATTTTGTAAGTAGTTTTGTGTTGTGTTTCTGCTGTGATCTCAAAAGAAACAACTAGATCCGAAAATTTGATTGAAAACTTATTGTGTGAGTTCATACAATGTGTATAATGTCATAGCATCAACTTTTATTTTGTAGCTCATGCCCTCAAATATACACGTCTATGAAAAAGAATAGTGTATTTTACTAACATGTGGTCTGCACGACAAAATCGTAAATTTTAAAATGTCCATCGCAACTGTAATTGTTGCGTTTGGAGGTTTGTTGATGAGGACTGGCCCGTCCCTCCACAAATCAGTCGCCAAATCCTGTGGTTCGGAACCCGAGCGCAGCCCTCGGGCGTCATCATGACCTCGGGTTCAAGTTCGGGTTGCGGCGGCGCCTTGGTCGGGGCTGCGTGCGAAACACGACGGGCAGCACCCTGGCGCGCTCCCCGCATTGACCTACCCTGGCCACAGTCGAGCTGCGCTAGGCTCGGCCCTTGGCGCCCTGAACGCCGGCGGGCGGTCCGGCGCACCCGCAGGCTCCGCGGGGCGCTCGAGCTCACCCAAAGTTTGTCCAGCGCGCCTATGGAGTGAGGGGCCCATGCGCCGCTCTCCAGGCGCAGCCCCCACGGCCTGGCGTGCAGGGGGGTGGGGGGTCGATCGATATCAGAGCGCTGAGCCTCGCCCCTCGCCCAGCCTGGAGGAGCGACAGAGACGGCAGCAGGGCCCCCACCCCCTCCCCGTACTCCGCGCAGCCCTAGCGGGGCGTGGCGGGGTGCGGCGCCGCGCCGCCCCGCGCCGTAACGCAGTCTAGTCGCGGGCCCAGCGAGCGACGCCCGGCCCGCCCGCACCCTGGCCCTGCCCGCCCCGCCCCGCTCCAGCGGACGACGTACGCGCGCGCACCACGGCACCGAGGCGAGGATGTCCGGGTAAGCACCTCGCCGTCGAGCCCTCGCGGCCGCGGCTGGCCGCGCGGCTCCTTCCCCCGCCAGGCTGGCCTGCCTGCGGGGCCGCGGCCGCGCCCCCACCCCCCACCTGCAGGTGCACACGAGGGGGGTGTTGTGTTTGGGAGGAGCCCTCGCCTTGCCCGCGCCCGCGCCCGCGCGAGTGCTTCGACTGCAATCGCCGCATTAGACGTGGGACGCCTGGCCGGCCGGGTAGTTGAAATCGTTCGTGTACATGCCTACGGGAAGTGAGATAACCAGCCCACGAAACAGCTGATCACCACGAAAATATATTCAGGGCATGCTCGGCGCCGTTGAAATAATCTCTATAAATTCACGAATGAAATGGAAATCTTGATCGCCTTTCGTCTCCCAAAGCTCCCCATTCTCGATCCCACGTGGACCGCGGGCGCCGAGCTGAGCCGACATGCCCCCGTGGCCCCGCAGCGTGCATGGTGTTTGCGGGGGTTCATACTGGGCCCAGCTCCGGCCAGGCTGCCTGGGCCGCGGCCGGCCACGTGCGGGCCAGCCCTGCCTCCTGCGGACTTCTGCGGACTCCTGCTCGTCGTCCTGGCCCAGCCGAGCACCCCGAGTGCTCCCCGGGTCGATGCGCCCCCGCACCGTGCACCCGCGAAGTGCGGCGCGACTTCCCGCGTCGTCGTGCGACGTGGGCAATGTCGGGACCTCCCGCGCGGGGCCGGCTGTGGCCAGAGGTCCCCGACGACGACACGGGTCGGTGATGGTCCCGGACCTCGTGCGGGTGAAGCTCCCGCGGGCTGGAGGACTGTGCGGGTGCCGTGTTTACGCTCCTCCTCCCGCCCCCGGCCGC